TGCTTATCGATATAAATCAATTATTCTAGATGTGTGTTCGGTGTCTCCTCCAAGTACTGATTTAGTACAGATGGGTGTTTCAGATTCTAGCAATCAATGCATTGAATTTCACTAAGTATGAGGAGGTAATGTGATCTATTTGTGGTGTCAGCATTAGCAAGCCGTGATGGCTTGATAGAGTCTGCATTGATTTTGTTTTATCAATTGTAACAAGACGTACAGGGTTATTTTCTACAGTGAGTATTTAAGGTAAAGTCAAAGTGAAGTTTAAGGTCAAAATATCCAATCCGGACAAATTCTCTAAGTCAGTTATACTTCCAGTTCGAATTCACTTTGAATTCTCAATTTAGTGAATTGGTGAATATCTAAAACTCTTTGAAAAAGTTTGACACTGGAATTGGAGAATCTTTAAACCTCATGCTTACACGTGGCTATACAGCCAATGTTGTGCTTAAAATGATTTTGAAAAACCAAAAAATTATTCTAGTCTTAAAACATTCAAGTAAGATAATTTGTTATTTTTATTTTAGAGTTTTTACTTGTATGTATGTAATTTACTGGCACATGAGTGATGCATCAAACACAGGCTTTTTAAACAGCACAGAATAACAATGTATGAACTAGCTAATCCCTTTGATAAAGAACACATCTTATGTCCCAGCCCATCAGAACTTTTTGTTGTTTATAAGAACTGGTGAACAAAAAAATATGTCGCTCGTCAACAGGGTTGAGAGCTCAACAACAGTAGCGTCATAATATATTTTTACTCTATAACCTTCCAATATGCCACTTCAAACCATAGAAAATATATAAAGTCATCACGTGTATGATATTATCAAAAAGATACTACAAACATTAGTTAGTTTTCAATAAGTTTGGCCATCTTTAATCAAGAATCATCAAAAATGCCTTCTTCATTGTAACATCATCAAAAACAAAATGCAACAAACTCTACACAGCATGTTGGCACAGCATAATTTAACCAAAATATGAATTGTAACATAATTGCTTAAGTATCTGGCACTGGGTCGGTTATGGCAATGTGTAGTAAATTCAACTATAAAATAAATGAATATTTATAAAAGCAGCTATAGATAATACATATCCTTGTATGATAAATACACCGAGATTAATTGTAGAGACTTGAATGACATCACTCTACGATGCCCGTAATTAGATTTGGAATATTAATGGAGGTCAACGATATAATTCTATATTGACTTGCTTTACATCTGCCATATAATTTGCCAGACTGTCATGGTTATTCAATAAACTGGGAATTGGGGAGAATACGCCAAGATATTGTTTTAGGGAGAAATAGGTGAGATTAAAAAAATATGGCAAACTATTATGTCCTAAAATTTTAAATTCCTTGGACAATTTCTGGTTTAATGAATTACCCTATATGTCAATTACTATGTTAGATTGATCAGTTACTATAGGACAGTGCAGTAGTTATAGTGCCAGTAGTACCCTAGCTCCTTCCCAAAATAAGTAATGTAACTATTTAAGAATAGTTAAACAAGTTACCTTTGTCCTGTCAGGTACCCGGTACAGAGCTAAGCCAATCAGTGCAGGGCTGCATTCATTGTCTGAGAGCTCTCAGCTGATACTCTCTGTTAATGAGCTGGCCCTGCTCTGAAGAGCTTAGCTAGATGGAGTAACAAAGCTCCTTTCAGAAATGTTCTTAAGCAGTTGGACTTCTTTCTCAGAGAGTGCGCCAGGGCAGTCCAGGTACCATAACCACTACAGGATACTGTAGTGTTTATGCTGGATGGGACGATCCTTTAAGTAAATAACTATGTCATCTAGTCCTCAACTCATTATAGCTAATCACATCTATGTTGGGTTGTTTTTTTTTAAATAAAATTAAAAGTAATATTAAGATGATTCATAATTGCCATTTCCGGTTGGACTTTCTATTCAAGCTATGGGTCATTAAAAAAAAAAAAAAGATTTGGTCAGAACATAATGCTATGAAATTTTATCTTTTTTTATATACATATATTTTTTCTAATACAATGCAAATGCCCAAGAATCACAATTCTCTAACAATCGCTTTAAATTAAAATAACACAAAAATAAATAGAATACAGCCATTAATATTTAAAAAAAATAAGAACTTTGTTTTCAGAGATACATATACATATATATACATATAGACATACAGATACATTTGTTAAAGGAAAGGCGAAGGAAGGTTTAACGATTTGATTGCCAGGGAGGTATGCAACAATGTTAAAAAAACAACAGTGCCAACTTTGCCGCCATTCAAAGGGTTAAAAATGAACACGATATGGTATTACAAAATAAAACAGGGTCTATTCAAAAAGTGAGTTGTGGTGTGCTTTAAACCAATTTACAACATTTAGGTCAAAATAGAAAAGTTGGAAAAAAAAGGCTCTAATTTAATAAAAACATTTCCAGCCTAAATTCTAACCACTGCTTGCTGTTCAGTGAATAGACTCTAAAATGAACTGAATAGACTCTAAAATTACCTTGTTACAGTATTTTTTTTAGAAAGTGCTAATCTGACAGATTTCATTAATTAATACTCATTTTAAACTCAAAGGGAAAACAATCTAGACATCTTTGAAATTGCATGAGGGCTTTGGTTCATCAACATCCTGTACACTCATTTATTATAAGTTCATTATAAAACATGCTACATCTGAAATTTGATTTCATTCTCTTACTCTCTGTTTTTTCGATCAAAATGGAAAATCCATTATCTAAAAATATGTAATCATATCACCTAATATTATTATACCATCATGATCTAATTCTTATTATCACACATTTTATAGAATTCTAATTTCTCATCCATTATAGCATTTTAAGAAGTGTGTCCCAGTTGGGGTCTAAATTCAGCCTATTGTTACTTTGGCACAGCAGGGCTTTTTATTCAAATGAACCTCTTGTTTTGTCTTGGCCTCATTTGAAAAAAAAAAAAGTTTCTGTTGTGCCAGAAAAACAACTTACAAATCTCAGACAATGAACTAGTTCACTTTACATACCCCAAAAAACAGGATAATAACATATATGGACTCCCTCTGTCTACAATGTATCTCTTTGTAGCTTGGTTTCTGTCCTTATGGAGTTCTGATGGCTTCAATGTTCCTAATTAAGACTTTACTGGCCTATGTATATTTATTAGTCTAATGTATGAGCCATGTATTTGAATGACAAAGATACAGAATGGATTGCTATCATAAGAGGAGCAGAAAATGTACTTGAGTATCAGATGAAAACCAAACAATCTATAATTATCTGAGGCGAGAGGTAAAGTACTAGCAACTGTTCTCTTTGACATAATCCCTTTAAATGCACAATTTAAACATGAGAATATTTGCTGGTATTGAACAAAATGCATGTCACATCCATTTGAAGTTTAAACATTGCTTGACAGGTAGGATTTAGTCAAATAATAAGTAAACGGTAAATCAATTATTGTCTCTTGCAGACTCTTCGGTTGACTAAAATAGACAAATATGACCTTGGCCTTTGGGGATATTAGGTATGAAAGGTACACCAGCAGTGGATTTGTAGTGTAAGGCATAGACCACAGTGTCCAGAAGGTCTTAGTGCAATATCTTTTCCATAGCTTGCTTTAATCCAGTGGAGATTACAGGAGACTCACTGAGGAAGACAATGATGATCAACTTAAGTCAAAGCCAGAATTGTAGGAATTCCAAAAAGGTCAGACATGTTTCCTCAAAGGAGCGTCCAGCATCCCCTTGCTTCCGTAAATGGGGTGAGTTAACAGACAAGAGAAAAACCCCAGGAGGCAAAAGACAGGGGATTTGTATTGTTATTTTTTTTTTTACTGATTTTGAATATCACCTCAGGGTCTGGAGCCAGACAAAACCAGATAATGCTGTAAAAAGGGAACTAGTCTCAATCCGACCAAACTGCAGAAAAAGAAAAAACAAAACAATGTTTAGAATGTTAGGCCTGTTGGGTAATAATGCATTCAGAACTTGGATGTCATGCCTGCAGAAAAGAGTTTAAGTTATAAAGCAGAATTACAAGTTTGAAATTAGACTATATTTTGGCCTGGCCACTCAGCTGCATTTCATTGGAATCTAATGAAATCCAGCTTCAAGGAATAATTGTGTGTCTTTTCAGAGAACTGTTCAGAGAACATTAACAACTTTATTATATTTGAAATAAAATAGATAAATAGATAGATAGATAGATAGATAGATAGATAGATAGATAGACAGATAGATAGACAGATAGATAGATAGACAGATAGATAGATAGACAGATAGATAGATAGATAGATAGATATATAGATAGATAGATAGATAGACAGATAGATAGATAGATAGATAGATAGATAGATAGATAGATAGATAGACAGATAGATAGATAGATAGATAGATAGATAGATAGATAGATAGATAGATAGATAGACAGATAGATAGATAGATAAAGAGATAGATAGATAGATATATAGATATATAGATAGATAGATAGATAGATAGATAGATAGATAGACAGATAGATAGATAGATAGATATATAGATAGATAGATAGATAGATAGATAGACAGATAGATAGATAGATAGATAGATAGATAGATAGATAGACAGACAGACAGACAGACAGACAGACAGATAGATAGATAGATAGATAGATAGATAGATAGATAGACAGATAGACAGATAGATAGATAGATAGATAGATAGATAGATAGATATATAGATAGACAGATAGACAGATAGATAGATAGATAGATAGATAGACAGATAGATAGATAGATAGATAGATAGACAGATAGACAGATAGATAGATAGATAGATAGATAGACAGATAGATAGATAGATAGATAGATAGACAGATAGACAGATAGATAGATAGATAGATAGATAGATAGATAGATATATAGATAGATAGATAGATAGATAGATAGATAGATAGATAGATAGATAGATAGACAGATAGATAGATAGATAGATAGATAGACAGATAGATAGAATTCTCTATTACCTTTTCTAGAATGGCATAGGACCCTTGTGTGAAAGCCGAGGTCTTTGACGCCTAGTTTTTCTCCAATTTCCTGGCCGTTGAGGGGCTGCATGACGGACCATTTTGGGGTTGACTAAGTTCCGAATATTTTGTTCTTCATCTTTTGCATCTGAACCTTCAGCTAGAGGAGCTGCAGAGAAAATTAACAATGTATTTGTTATCCCGAATATCTAATATAAAACAATTTAATAAACAGTCATTTTGTACATACACTCTTTAGTATGTTTTAGTAACTGTTGAGCATATGTTTTAGATTTAGTAAATTCAGAGCTTGCATGCCTATGTGACTGTTTAGCAGTGCTGGTATGGAATAAAATAGTTTACATAGATTGAAGTAACAAAAATCAATGTTACAGTCTGTTAAAGTAAATCATTTCAATAGTTCAGTCCTATGTTCTTGACATTTATAGGTGACCACGTGTTTGCACTTTGGCCAAGCTAGGAGTCATTTAACATTACATCACTGGTTAAAAATTTCAATTATTTATTGGCTTGATGTTTGTTGTAAATAAAATTAAAAAAATAAAATTGTAAGCCATCTTTTTCAACATACATCAAGACTTCAGCAAACCTCTGCAGCTAAATGCCTTTAAAAACGTGTTACTCTAAGTTTAATACTATGGATAATATGGCTTTATTCAAGCATTTTTGGTTTGTGGATCTCCGCACCCTGGTGGTAACAGGGTAAATGTGAGTACAAAGTCCTTTTGATGTTTGGGTTATAAAGCAGTGACCTGCTGTTTTAATAATATAGACTATGAGTTTGTCCACTTTATATATTATTACATATTGGCAACTGATTGCTAGAATACAACAAACAATAGATGGACGAGGGATAAAACATTAAAATATTTTAAGTTATAAATTCTGTGTAGTTGATGGGAAACTGCTGGATGAATGTTTGTATCTGTTCAACCTATTATATATTGTGCTCAACCACCATTCAAGGGGTTAACCTTACTAAGCACACTGCCGACATTCAACAGAATGTATCCTCAGTGCAGTCTGGGAACAGAACTGCTTTCTCTCCTCATTAGTAATGTAATTTGTGGGAGACTGAATACTTCATGACGTTCCTTACCAAACCCATGCTCGTTGTTCTGATTAGTAAACACAAAACAGTCCTGTTTGATGTATTTCTCTACTTATGAATGAAAACAAGATGGAGGAATTATGAATAGTTTTTAAATGCTTCACTGGGCCTGGGGCATACATGTTTGGTTTCTACAGTCACAAAGATGAGTTTGACACAGACACCCAACCATTTCAGCACATATGGGGTTTTGCAACCATTTTCATAAAAATGCATTGTTCAACCTCAGGCAATACATGTAATAAAGTGATTATTACAGATAATATAGTGGAAGTTTTATTAACAAAAAAAATCTTTGAAAACACACTTCTTCAGGAAAGCATATCATTTAAACTGTTAGCGGGTTTTCCTTCCGCCCATGACTCCTCTCCTGCAACTGTCAAAAATAACCTACTAAGTTTTCAGTGATTACTTTTCTAGCAACCTATTTCATTACCCCTACTTATACCTTTTGTTTCACTATACCCCACTCCCTCTAGCATGTAAGCTCATTGAGCAGGGCCCCCAACCCCTCTGTTCCTGTGCGTCCATTTGTATAGTTACAATTACATGTCTGTTAGTCCACCCATTGTACTGTGCTATGGAATTTGCTGGCGCTATATAAATAATAAAATAATAATAATAATAATAACAAGAATATATTTAACATGGCAACTTTACTTTTTAGGTTTTTAAAGAAACACCAACAATTTATAAAGGTTAAAAAGAAAGTTCTAGTTTAGGTGGAATGACCTGTGACTCACATATGTTGCCAAAGTGACTTATAATTTTACTATGGGAGGTTAGAAGGGTTTCTGGGTAGCCAATCATAACTTAAATAAGTGGCTGACAATTTTATTGTGGGCTTGGTTGCCAAATACATAGCATTAATTAATATATACATTTCTAAAGTGAGGAAGAGATACAGGCCTAACATTATTCGAAAAATACTCAAAAGACCACCTGAGACAATTTTAAGTTTTTGTGGTATATCAAACCCTGAATTAACCAAATGAAGGGAAAGGAAATTGTGTTTTTGCTGTGTTGATGTGTGGGATAATATGTTAAACAGCTGTCTATTTTTATAAAAATCAAATAGTAAATCTTAATAGCAAAATACAATCCTTAGTCTGTAGTATTTTGGTATTTCATAAATAAGTTGCACCTACAATAACAAAACGCAACTAATAATTAGTGAATATAGGCTTTTTTAAAATTCACGTCTGGTAAAATTATCCTTGAGAGGTTTATCCACTAACTGGAACAATTTGAACTCTCACCAGTCATTTTGGCCATAAACTCAGGGTGGTACTAAATATTATTGTTGGAAAGACTCAAGGAAAGATCTATGTAAAAGTAACATTTAACAAAAATATTCAGGTTTCTTTAATCTTGAAATACACACAGAACCAAATACAGCTCCTATAAAAATCGAAGAACGTCTAGCAACTTCCTGGTCAAAAATACAATATGTGGAAAGATATTCTGAAAGTCCATTAGAAATTCCTTGGATTTGAGACTAAATCTCCCCTTTTTTCTTTTTGCACAATCTTCCCCTTTATTGCAAATAGTGCATCAAATGTTACAACAAATCTCTTCTTAAAACAGGGCCAAAAGATATCAAAAAAAGACAATACATATGCGAACTTAAAAAACGTCTGAAAAAGGTAAAACATGGAAGGTTTCTTAGACACTTTAGTGGTTAAATGTATGAGTTAAAACACAATGTTGTCATACTGCTTTCCATTGTCATTTATGTAAAAGTTAATCTAGCTTTCGTTTTTAACATATTGACTTCTGACATGATGAAGAACCTTTGATACCTATATTTGTTATTATATATAAGTGTTGTGAGATGTACTTTGTAAGCTTTAGCATTCCACTAATGTCCTGTTCTAGGACGTTGCATCTAGTAAATCACCCTTTGTTGGACATCTGCATTCATGCATAATAGAAAAAAAAGCCATGTGTATTATGTTGCTGAGTAACAAGATCTAGTTTTGAGCCAAAGAGGCATGCTTTAATTTTGGGAGATCTTCCCGGATGAACAGCATGCTGTCCCGTAATTCAGCTAACCCTATCCTTGATGGAAGGATAGTTTTGGGCACAAGGGCAGCATAAAAATACCACTACATAGACATGTGCAGAAAATCACATTAGAGTATACACCCTGGACTTTTTTACAAGAGGTAAATCATTACTGAATTCCCTATTACACAGGAGATTTCCTTTTTACACAACAAAAGAAACAAAAGAATACTGATAATTACTAGTAATAATATGATAATATGCATGCACATTAGGCACCACCCATTGGCTATCATCGGCTGAGGAGTTGCTTGACCCAGCACCAAGGGACATCAGTGTTGGAAAAAAGGTTTTTTTAACCTTTTATTTGCCATGGGGGACCATAAGAAAGTGGGGCCCCAAGGGCACTATAGCTTTAGGAATATAGTTTACCTTTAAAAATACTACAATCTGAAGCTAGCATATATTCGACTTCAAACATGTTTTTTTTCCAGGTGATATATCTTTTATAACATAGACAGACTGTCTGTCAGTTTTATGAGTGTTTTATCTTAGTCTTACACTGATGGGTCTTTGCGTAATAAAACCAACCATAACAATTTTACTGTATACAGTATGAGATGCCTTCAAACAGAAGAGTAAACTCATTGGCAATTTTTACAGGATCGCACAACATTCAATTTTATTTGCTCTTAATTTTTTATATATTGTCCATTCTGAAAACTTCAGGCTGCAACAGTGTTGCCTAAAGAACAGAAAGTCATTTCAAGCCATTATGGCACTTGTGATGTTCTCCTGAAGACAATGACTTACAGGTGAGGCGTGTTTGGAATATAAACATTCCACAATGGGTTGCTTGCTTAGTTGCTTCTAAAAAGGAGGAGATGTTTGATTAACTACTGACTTGGCAACCCGCATAGAGGTTAATTTTGCAGGCGATTCATGCTAGAACAGGTGACAGATGTGAAATCTGACATTCTTAGGAGGACGCCTTCTTTACTTGTTTCATAGATATTAGACTTGTGGTTCTTTGAAGAGAGATCAAGTTGATTATTTAGAAAAAGCATTAAAGGCAATATATGCTGATACCCTAGGGCAAATAGCTGCAAAGGGTAAATAGAGAAGGGCAGGGAGAGAATAAGTAAAGCAGTCATTGATTGAATGTTTTTACATAAAGTGTGTGTGGAACCCAAACACAAACATAATGTATTTACCTACGTATTAGTATGTTTAGATGTGTTTATCGCTGCAATCACGTATATGAATTGCTATATTTATAGCCGAGACTTATTGCTGCATATTTACACCTGTTGGAATTCAAATTGAATTCAAAATCGCATTTAAAATTTTTAGCCATAATAGCTTAACTGGAAAACAATTTCAAGTCAGATTTGTTTTAATTTTGTATATTTCGTCGCAGTTCACACTTTAGGGAATAATAACCCTATAGGACTGTAAATATCAGCAGGTTTAATTAAGGAGTCAGATCTTGCCATATAGAATCAATTTAGCACAGCTCCTAAGGCTATGTTTTCCATACACATCGTTAGCGGTCAGAGAATGCAAGTGGTATTTTTACGGACCACTCTCTATGTTATAGGGATATCGTAAGACCACCATGGAGTTCCACAAGGTTACAGGCAGAATGTGATGTGTTTTTTTTACAGGCAAGTGATATATAAGAATACCTGAGACGTTCCATATCCAGGTTATAACACCTGGTGACCTGACATGCTTTGCAAATGAACCAAGGAGCTTTTTTAATTAAAAAGTATGTCCCTAATTCCCAGGGTTCTCAGCTGTGTACATATACGGTATCTTAGAATAGTGCAAAGACAGAGTGTTTTTTGTATAAGGTAGTTATACTACCTATTCCATTTTGTGTACTTTGAAATTTACTTTGAATTCCCAGCAATTCTCATTTTAGTAAATAGCGCTGTTTGTGATAGTTATTAGTTTATGCCCGTAACACTGTGAAATCAGAGCGTACAGGAGGCTAAGCAAATAGAACCTTCCCATCCCCCATTAAAGATTCTTGATTTAAGATTACTATGAAGTTCTCAGTATAAACTCACAGTATAGGGGCTTTAACTCGGAAATGGCTGGATAAAAGTTTAGTAGGCCAATCTTTCCTATCAAAAGATCTGGTCTCATCTGTGCACTGTTTGCCTCTGTTATCTGTCCTGAACTGACCATACAAAACAAGATCTGTTCTTTAGTAAATGAACTATTGTCCATGGCAAAGGAAAGGGGAAAGGCAGTGCATAAAATATCTGTCAACAAACCCCAAATCTTTTTTTTAACCCTACCTTTTCAGTTCTTGCACGGATTAGACTTAATTATGGTATTTGTTTATTGAGTTAGGAATTAAATGTAGAATTTCCAAGGAAATATGAAATTCTAGGTGAAAATATTAAAAATGAAAATGTTCCCTAACTCCAGTATTTGGCTAATGTTTGCAATCAGTGTGATACTTTTATACAACTAAAATCTTTTTCTTTATCCCTTTTCGAATGTCTACACCAGACCCATTGTGTAGTGATAGAGATTACCTCTTGTGTTCGACATCATGCTCGCTCTGGCACATAATGGGTTAAAGTAGTATAAATCGTCCATCTCTGCTTTTGTAGCAGATTACGAAACTTAGATGATGACATGGGACTAAGGAATCCATTCTTTGATTAGCATATTGTGGAAACCAGCATTTAGATCAGGGGTAGGTAACCCTGTGCACTCCAGATGTTGCAGACCACATCTACCGTGATACTTTGCCAGCAGCATTACTGAAAGAGCCTTATGGGTGATGTAGTCCACAACATTTTTTTTTTTAAATGTTGGAAAATAATGTCCAATCTGAACTGCAGAGTTTATTTAATCTGCTGGTTGGTGAATAGATCCTTGTGTATTAACGATAGGTAAGCAGTGATGATTTAATTCAGTTTAGTAATCGAGTAGTTAGTTGACCTATTCCTGGATACAGTAATGTATAAGTGACCGCGTCTAAGAATACAAACTGTTACCTTATGGGTACACTGTTCACAGCTAGATACATACAGTGTGGAATTGCCTCTGTCATACTGTGTAGTTTGCAATGACTGCTGTTTTCGCTTCCTTTGATAAAGATGAAGCACAGAGGAAATCCCTACTCAAGTGCACCCGTCACTCAAAATGATTGAGCTACTGAGTGACCCATGATTGACTTGCCACCTGGGTTCAAGCAGGATGTGAAAAGTTCATTGAGAGATGAGTAGTAACTCATCTCATAGAAAATATCAAAGGGATACTCCGAGGGGTGAATTCACTAAACAGTATGTTGCAATGAGTTAACACCTGACTTGCAATAACTGGGCAAAACAGGAGAGTTAGAAAACATCTTAAACTTCACGAAGTTGGAGGTGGGGTTTCTAATATGTCCGTTTTAGCCTTTGTTGACCATGAATGTTAAATGCTTGCTACAGCTCACTATTTAATAAACAAACCAAAGAGAGAAAATAAAGAGTTAATCTAAGGTGCTATATTTTTCTAGAGTAGGGCTGCACACAAGGTAGATTCCCAGATGTTGTAGAATTACAACTCCTATGATTCTTTACATGCCTTTAGAATGACAAAACATCATGTGAGTTGAAGTTCTACAACATCTGGGGATCTACCTATTGGTCAGTCCTACTCTAGAGTTCTCAGGAGATCCATCTTCTGCTACTAAGCTATTTTATTGGCCCCATATGATAAGCTAACCGCATATATACTTTAGAACACGGTTCCACTGAGTATCTCAAAGTGGAAATGCCAGTTATCGAGTGTATCAAATGTTTATGCAAAGGTAGCCACAAGGAACTCTACAAAGGTCATGGAGCATCAACTTCTATGGTTCTATGCCAATTTTCTGCTGATCAAAGGCTTTTTCAGATTTATGAGAATTGAGTCGTTGAATGGAATCTGGGAGGCTAAATGCTAGTCCAGTATCAGAGCAGGGGGAGGGTATATACTGCCTTCTGTGGTTCATAATGGTCTCTCCCATTGTCGTGGGTCTAGGCAGCAGTTTAGGTGCTGAGTGGTTAATCCGGGTGTAAAGAGGTGAGAAACACATAGCTTTACAACATGTAATACACCATTCCTAGCACTCACAGGCTTAATACGTAATCCTTAGTTTACAGATTCAGCAATAAAGCTTGTCTGACAATGTTTATTAATTTAAAGGATGACCCCTACTGATTCCTTACTAATAGCAGTCCACTGACAGTAAGTGATTAGTCAATGTCCAGCTATCTCCCTCTAAGAAGGTACAATATCTTGCTTGGAATATTGAGGACAGGACTACCAATGGTCAATCTCAGCTCTTTCTGCAATCCTCTATTTATTATTAATGGAATAGCTTCCAGAAAATAAACTCTGCTAATGCACTGAGCTCTATCATAGGTCCATGCATGAAATGACTGATTACGTTAGTTAAACACATACAAGGTTTGGAGCACCTGTTTATTTGCACGTAGACTGTATGAGTATGAGTTTTAAAGGTAACTGAAGGGTACAGAAATCTCAAGGGCATGGATAACCTGTAAAGTAAATTTAAAGGTATAGTGTAGGGACCTTAAGCAATACCCATAGAAGCTCTTTAGAATTTATTTAATTGCCACATACTAAACTGATTACATTTTTATAGTTTAGTAATGGGCTACATTAACGTGGACTGCTTTCAGGAATGATGCAGGCGACTCAGTTTGGATTGTCCTCCAGGACAAATCGTTCACATCCCCCATCTCCCCCCCTTAAAAAGAGGGCTTCGACATCTTTGCCCATTACCCTTGTGTATGAAGGAAATGGAGGTGGGGAGAAGAAGATGAAATAATGTCATTGTTTCCCCAGAAATGGCTGCAAGCTCCTTAGGGTAGACTTCATGGAGAAGTTATACATCTCGCAGTCTGCTTGTGCAAGCAGATTTACAGAAAAAGCCCCAAAGCAACAATTTACTAACTGACCAACCAGAAGACAGTCCTAAACTATGGGCCGATAATAGGCCAGGTTGATCTATTTGAAATTATCTAGGGACGTTTGTAATATTCTGTGATAAGTAACATGGTGCGATATCACTGTTGATTTCTCACTATAGGAAAAACTAGTATCAACTCACATTGAATGAGCTACATAATGTTTCCAAATGTGGGTTTGAAGTTTTTGCTGGTTCCAACATTGGTGGTTTCCAGCACAGAAGTCTCAACCTAATTATCTGCTGTCACTTTATTCCCAAATGTGACAGTTATCAGTTTGCTTCTGCGCATCCACGGTGACACAACAAGGACTTCATAATTTAAAGCAAAGGGTGCCAAAATGGTAGATCCCCAGATGTTGTAGAACTACAGCTTCCATGATGCTTTGTCATTTTAAAGCATTCTAAAGGCATGTAAAGCATCATGGGATCTACATTTTTGGCACTCCTGACTTAAAGTGTATATTTATTTGCCATTCCCAAGGCAAGCCACAAAGCATTTACAAAACATTTTTTTTATTATACATTCTAGTACCGTTTAAATACGTTACCATTTAACACATGTGGATAATAATCTGATCTTTATACATATATTAAAATGTAATCAATCAAATGTGCTACTGAAATCACCTAAAATGTAAAGTGCACTATGGATGTGAGTGGACAAACATGCAGATGACAAACTTGCAGATGATAAACATGCTAAGTATTGTAGCAGGGTAGGCTCAGAACTGTATAAGAAAGTATATCTCCTGATTAAATTGCCATATTGTTTGTTTCCCTCTATCTCAGTGGCACAGAGGTAAAGTCAAAAACTAAATTTAGCCAAAAATTTTATTTATTAGGATTTGGATATCGGCATGTATTAATATATAAAGAATGTATTAATGACCATGTACTAATGACCATGATACCTTTGCATGGTAGATATATTTAATTTCTATCAGTTATGGATCAGAGAGTGCTTACTGGGAACAACTGGGGTCAACTGGGTTCAAGCAGGAGACTGGACCACACACCCATATTAAACATATTGTCTCTCACTATCTGCCCACCTTTATCTCTTGTCTTTCACATTGTGACATTTAACCCCAGATAGCAGAGACGTGTGGGCAGGTCCAGCCTTTTGAATTGGCTAGTGTTTCTTTGTTTGGAGTTCAGGCTCATCCATTGTGCCACACTGTGGGGTTTGTTGCCAATTTCTACAACTTCCGCATTCAATAGAAAGATAGATTTAACAAGAGCCCTCAACTTTAGACAAGGTTGGGAAACATGTAGTGTCAGCCAACACAGGACTGCGGCTGCCACCATCCTTACTCTTCTCACAACAGATAGGAATGCAATTTCCATCATTCTTAGTTGCATCACATTAGCTGGGATCCCAACTCCCACCATTCTTACAAGTCTCATAATTGCTATGCTAGGACCACAACTACCATCATTCCTACCAGTGTCATTTTAGCTAGAATTGCAACTCCCACCATTCGTATGAGTGCCATGATAGCTAGGATTGCAACTCCTACCATTCTGATTAGTCTAATACTAGATTGGATTGCAACTCCCAACATTCTGTCTCCAAAGTCTGATGTGAAATGCATCAGTCAATTCTTACTATAGTCTCAAATTCTTGTTAAACTGAGCCATTCAAATCTACTTACCAGAATATTTGAATATATAACTGTGTTTGCTGCTGATAAACACATTAGTCTCTCGTTAAACAAAAAAATGTCTTAGCGTGTTAGGAAAATGAAAACAGTGCTCTTTTGCTTTGTTTTGCTTTTTTTACGTAGAGGTGTCTCCCGTCTTTAGGTGAAAAGTGATAAAAATCCAGAATGTACACAATGATTATCTGTAAAAATGCTGCTCAAATTTCTTCATTAGAGGTGTAGCATGCACACTTGATGTTATCTTTCAGATAATCCTTTCCAGTTTGTGAGAGTGGGCTGGATTTATTAACATTACTAAGTTTTAGTTGGGTAAACATAGAGCAAACAAGATAAAGTAGAGGTCACACATAGTGTCAGGGTGCATCAAAAAAATGGCCCCAGGCTTAAATATCTGACGTAGGCTCTAATAGGTTTATAGGACTGGATTCTTAGTGGGACCCATAATGTGTTTTTTCATATCCTATCTAGGAATATTGCGGTTTGAAAACAATATTTTGTTGGCTTCCCTTCTATGACCTACATTTATCAATAGCCATTGTGCTTCTCAACTGGAGTTTACATGAGTGATAAGAGATTTTAAAGCTTAGCGCCCATTGATAAACCTCAGTCTGGTTCTTGGAATTGTTTTAATTCACTGGATTGCTAACTAGACGTCCCTTTAAACAGGACACGTATAAAATAATTTATTTGTTATAATGCAGTCCGGCAGTATCTTTTTTTAAATTTTATTTTCTAATTGTTCAAATTAAGGGGAAATCTTTTCATTCAATCAGCAGTCACTGAGCTTTTCTAAAACACACTTTAATCATGCATGTATAATGTATAAGAAGCGTGCATGTAAAGCCTTACAGCTGATGAATTCTTTACATGTTTTCACATTTCTAATACATGGTGGCAAAGGGGCTTCTTCGCGAACAGTCATATTGCTTGTTTGAGATAGACATCTGTATCCCTTACTCACTGTGCACATTTAGCCATCATACTCATTTCAAGAGGGTTCAGAAAATTCTTCGTGTTCGAGATGTGCGTGCATACCTCAGTCAACATGGCGGCATGTGTGTTATTTACTGTTTAACAGAGCTTTCACAGCACGAACTAGTGATAAGAGTCTAAAATCAAAAGAATCTGAAAGACACTCGTTTCTTTAAAATCTTAAAATGTGTCAATAGGCCATGTGGCAATGACATACAAAATGGAAGTTCTGAATTTGAAGATCTTAAAGCTATTGGAAGATCCGATCTCCCCATTTATTAGGGATGTTTACAAAGCACCGTGCATGGTAGATAATCTTATCGAGTTATTTACTAAAGTAAGAATTGAAAGTGAATTTCACATTTTTGGCCAAAGTAGCTGAGCTGGAAACATAGCTATTTTTTTCCAGTTTCCTAAATTTCCTACATTTTTTTTACAGTTTAGCTATTTTGACCTTAAATTTAAAATTCACTTTAAATTCTTACGTTAGTTAATAACCCTTTTAATATAGCATAGTTTTGTGCATTTCAATAAATGTTCATCAAGGATTAATTAGTACATTTCACCAATCAGTACATTTTATACCCATTTATTATCTTTGTACACTCAAGTATTATACTTAGGACAGAAGATACCCCTGGCTCAAATTAATACGTAGTTTATTTTTGTAAAAAAAAAAAATTATAGGAGAATAAAGCTTTATTAGCAATAAGAAAGTCTCATTGGTGACTCATAAAAGTGGAAAAGTAACTCTCACAGTAGTTTTTTTTATTGGAGCACAATTTAGTTTGACCTGCTGCTATGTCAAAGTTCAGATAAAAAAAGAATGTAACCAGATTTTAAGGAGCCATATTTGAAAGCTGAATTATAGGAGCCAATAAATGATGTCTGAGGAATTCACTCTAAACTTTACATCTCACTCTAAACTCTACATCTTAGAGTGAACTTTACATTCACTCTAAACTCTGAAATCTACATCTGGGAACTTATAAGTCAATGCCTTTAGGTCGTATGAAATGTGTCAGGCCTGCCTCTTTCCTACCCTCCCACTTAGACATTTTACTCTCCACTGACAGCACAATAAAAGAGGCATTAAGCATTGAATGGTGGGTGTGACTCCATACTGCATCTTGTAGAACCAGCATCACTAGAGTCAAGTATCACTTTTCTTATAAAGCAGCATAAGATGTTTATTAACTGAAGCATGGCTGGGAAGACATATACTTGCTAATTGAACCAAAATTGCAGAGTTGGAAAAATGTTCTAACCAACAGAGACACAACATGAGATGCATTTGCCTTACTCTAGGCCGGGGGTTGGCTTAGCTAAGAAAAGCCAATAGAGTTCCTGCTTGGTAGAGGAGGCAGGGAGAAGCATGCAACAGACCCCATTCTTGTCATTCCTGCTAGCGAGTTTACCAATTGCAAGAATTCACCAGTAGCAACAAAGAATTAGCGATTTCCACTACTTAAAGCCAGTCTTTAAGTATTAACTAATTGCTTCCATTATTCTTAATGGGAGCAGCTCACTGCTACTTAGTGAGTGGTTTCCAACCTTGTTCTACTGTTTACCAACAGAGACAAACCTATCCAACTTAAAATCAACCTCTTTCCTGGTGCAAAGATGGTAGGGGAACACCTCACCCCATAACAACTTAATTTCTATTAAGTAGTTATGGTGGCAGTTAGGGCCTTGGCACTGTCTTATCTTCAATTTTCAAATGGTTAAACCTCAATGTCTAAGGCAGGGTTAGGCAACTTTTGGCACTCCAGATATGGGGACTACATGTATCTTTATGCTTTGCCAGCATTATGGCTGTAAGAGAACTTGGGAGATGTTGTAAAAAACATCTGGAGTGAAGAACGTTGTCTACTCCTGATTCTAGTCAACAAACTTCGTAAGGTCCAAGTTAGGATACATTGTTTTCTTTATGAGCATATCTGAAAACTAGATTCGATTATGAAAGTAACTGGGCTACTACTATATAACACATTGCAGACATTAATATAGAAACAGTCCTCAATTAACTAACATCCCAGCTCCTAACATAGAAAAAGCTCAAATTTGCCACCAAGGAAAGACTGTTAGTGGTCCTGTATGAGTGTCAAAGCATCACAGAAAAACACAGGCCTCTCCTGTAGACTGAGCATTGTGGGAAAAAAAAACACATCACAGAACTCAAATATTAGGGAGTACTGCCCTGGCTCAAACTCTACTTAATTGCAAAATGGTAAAATGGCATCACTGGGAAGAAAACAATCACTACTATTTCTGATATACTAACTAAAAATATTCACATCCCTTTATAATGCATTATAGTGCTCATTCATCTACCAATGCAAAGGGTTATGGGTAAAATAACTAATGCTAATGAATGAAAACTCTGTGGTATAGTATCTTATTTTCAAACTAATTGCAATAATTCCCAAAGAGTAACATTACCAGAAAAACAGACGTCTCCATTCTGGCTTCTTTGTTCCCAGAAGACTAATCAGACCAGATACAATAGATCATTACAATGAATGTCTTTGCAAACCTGTAACATTTTACTGCCAGGGTGCATCCATCATACATTTAGACTATGCATTTAGATTCAATAGTTCTTTAAAACAAGTGTAAAAAGTAATTTAGGTTGACATAGACTCATGTTTATCAAGTTCAACTATCCACACATCTGTTTCTGCGGTTGATCAAAACGATAAAAAAATAAATGTGTTGATAATAGCAGAGTAACAATGAAATATGTCACTATGTATGTCGTATTTTGTAAGTCAATTGCTCAGCATTCTAAATAGTATTTCGCCACAACTGTTTAGCGAATAAACCCCTTAGCTATCCCATACTTGGAAAACTCCTCACATATTCTCAAATTTATGGCGCTCACTTGCACAAAGTCACACATCTCTCTCGCCCTCTTTGGAGTTAATAAAGGGTTATGAAAACACATATTGCAATGTTTAATTTAATTAGCCCTTTGAGGGCCACCTCTGACACTCTGAAGGTTAAAGAATAGGCATGCAATAGGGCTCTCATGCCTACTCTTATAAAGTAACAATAATACAACCACAGCAAGTATACCAATGCTAAATATAACTCAGGGAACAGGTGACCTCTGATCCAGGTGTGCAGTAAATAAAAAATCACATACCACTGCTTAATGTAAACAGGTGGTATAGCCTGTGACTTATTAACATCCAATATTTACACAAGTTCAACCCCTGTGTGATCATTCTAGGAACATCTCACTAAACCACAGTGCAGAACACTGATTGGCAACAAGTGTATGGTATCTGCTCAGCAATAGAATTGTAAATTCTTGTCATATTTTGGGCACTAATTAGATCCATATACCCAGCTATTGTTCCCACAGCATATGTTAGTCTGACATGCAGAGCTGCTTCCAGGCAAATACCTTTAACCCATTGTAAGCCTTTCTTAATACAGAGAGCTTCTTTTCATTCAATGTATGTGCATTAATAACCCACTGTGGCAGGGCTGTCTACATGGGCACAATACATTTAAATGAACCAATTTGTAGGCTTGCACCTAAGAAATGCCTAAGTTCAATTTAAAAGCCTATGCATAATAAATATACAAACTGCACTCAGTGCTTGCAAAATATAACAATTGAGAATATATCTGACTGAATTTTTCCACAGTTGAATTATTATTATTTTTTTTTTAAATAAAAATGTACATTTGTGCTGCAGGTGTTCAGACTTGACATTTAACATTAAAAAAATAATAATTTAACTTTATATCCATTTGCAATGCTGAAAGTAAAATCCAGCCATAATGTTGAAAGTACAGTATACTAGTTTTGGTTACAGTGTATAAAATAGTGGCTGTTCAGTGAAACAGCAAAACAGCAGAATAATGATTTATTAAAAATGAATGAATGGTTATGTCATGCAAAATAAGTGTTCTTTAAGAATATTTGCTATAGTTTTTTTTTTTTTTTGCTATTTATTACATTCATGCACTAATTGCGCTGCAAAGTACAGTGCGCACACATTACATTCTCCTAATGCATGCACATAATATATTTATAAATAAATACTCCATTATTGAAAGCATAATGATTGCAAATGATTTCTATTGCAGGACAAGAAACAGGAGACTCACCTCCAAAAGCAGATGTCAAGGTTAATATAATCAGGACTAATGCCAAGAGCCAGAGCCTGGGATTCATGTTTCTTGGTGTCTGAGCTGCTAGTCTATGAGAGACAGGGAGAAAGAGTTAAGGAAGTCTCTCTGTGCTGATTCCAAAATGTCAATTGGAGAAGGCTGTCTCCTTGCGTCCAGTGGGGGCTCTGTTCTGCCAAGTGACTTTGCAATGAATGCTCTCACATAGTACAGGGGCTGCGTTTTGTATTGGAGAATCTGGATGAAAGCCTAGTTGGTCATGTGGTCACCAGTGCAATAAGAGCCCTCCTCCTTCCTTTTTTCTTTTTCTTTTTTTACACCCATAATGAATTGGACTGGGTAACAGAGAATTGCAGTAACAAAGCCCTTGGCTTTGACAAACATATTGCAATACAAATTGGATGACTGCCAGATGGCTCCCAGTTACTTGGATTCAAATCAAGAAAATGTTACAATTATTTCTTTTTTTTTTTTGAACACCAGTTGACAATGGGAATAATTATTTTATTTGTTTTATCATTATTTCTGTGTGTATATAAACTTTAAAAAAAAAAAAAAAAAATTGATTTTTTTCATTAAAAGGGTTCACAGTCTGTATATTAATTTTATAGTTTACAACATAATACCTGTTGGAAAAGGTATGAAAAGGTTATGATCAACGTAATATCCCTGCCAATTCCATTGGTTTATATTATGTTTTAGAACTTTTGGCCAGAATGAGAAATGAGATCAGGAATATAAGGTTCTGCATGTATATATCAAAGGGACCTGCATGCTGCTCTCACTTCAGTCTTCTGTTATGCAGGAGTAAAATATAATACGCAGAAAATAAGGAATAAAGAGAGCATCACTGCTTGAACTGCTATGTGCTACAGTGATAGTTTATTTGAAGAACACATATTATTATTATTTTTGGCACTTATATAGCGACAACATATTCCGCATCAGTTTTCAACATTTTAATTGATTAATACAACAAACGTTTCAGGATTCAACCCATCATCAGTGCAAAAGGGCATTTGCACCGATGAAGGTTTGAATCCCGAAACGTTTGCATCCTTCGAATAAATTATCACTGTAGCTCTCTGTGCACAAAGCAATCCCCAAGTGCTGCTCTCTTTGTTTCTTATTTTCTGCATATTGTTTTAGAAACCCTTTTATATTCCCCAATGTGTGTGCATGTGTTATAGATTACATAACAGTGAACCAGGTACCATGGTAGAGAATGTGTGAGTTTTGTATAAATGTATGTGTATTTTCGGTGCAAAACACCAAGCTAGAATGCAATGCTAGTTATATCCAACTATATTAATGGATCTGTACATGGTAAAGATCATCATCTTGTACTCCTGATGGCACATTGCTAAAGCACAATACAGGCTGCAGCCCCTGCCTTTAAAGGGAGAATCTAGTCAACATAAGAGCAATTACAATCAGTAGCTATCCATTGACAAAAAAGTAAGTTTTTTTTATCTATAGGGGCTACTGATTGGCTAATGCTCTAAGTCAGTCAGCGCCCATGCCCGGCGGCACTCTTTTGGAGCTGAACTGTTCAAGAACAGTGTAACATCTTAAGGTAACAGTTTTCATCCAGGGACTTACTGGCACCATAACAACTTCATGTAGATGAAGTTGTTATGGTGACCGTATTGCCTCTTTAATTCAGCCCCAGTATGATATTCCAGGATATATTAATGATATTCCAGGAGTGGAGCTTCACAGGCAATGGCAATGATGAGTTTTCTTTCCCCGTGCCCACGCTCTGTTTAATATAAAAAATAATAGGGATTGCATATATGGTAGCAGCTGCTGCCTGGCCGTGTAACTCCCACTAATCTCAGGACAAGTATTTTAGTTTCTAATGCACTGTGAGAAGTCACGTTGCCCAGCTGTAGCATTTTATACAAGGGATACTCCAGACACCCAGACATCTTCTGCCCATTGGAGTGGTGTGGGTGCCAACTCCCACTACCCTTAACCCTGCAAGTGTAATTATTGCAGTTTTCATAAACTGCAATAATTACCTTGCAGGGTTAAGTCCTCCTCTAGTGGCTGTTTAAAATATTGAATAAAGCATTGAATAATGCTTTCCTATTGGCTGACGTCAGCGGGGGAGGAGAGTAGGTGGAGCCTGACCCAGTGCCGAGGGATATCAGCGCTGGACTCCGGTAAGTCACTGAAGGGGTTTTAACCCTTTCAGCAACTTGGGATGGGGGGTGGGAGGGAGAGGGGCACTACAGGGTCCTGCAGTGCCAGGAAAACTAATATGTTCTCCTGGCACTGGAGAATACCTTTAAAAACTTGATTTGCCCATTGAAAGAGCAAATATCCATGTGTTAGTTTTGTATAAGTGCATGTGTATTTTCTGTGTAAAACACCAGCCTAGTATGCAATGCTGTGTGAGTTAAATCCAACTACATCAATGGATCTTTACATTCCATTAAATATTTCAAATTTCCGTATCACCCACCAGGGAAGATAGTTAGCTACCTTCTCTAGTGGTTCCAATGTCAATTACTGAGAATGGTGCTTAATGTTTGGAAGGTGATTGCAATTATCTTGGTATTTTATGATTGTGTTTTTCATTCGTGGTATCCTATAGCTGTTTGGTCATTATTCTCCCTTATTGCAATCTGCTCTGCTTCTAAAAGCTACTGATGAAAAGCACTTTCCTGATTTGAAAATATTGCCAATCATTACTAGAGATCATTTACAACTCTGGGGACTGTATCTGTCAGTTTAACTTAATATCATCTATAGGATATATGGAAAATGGAATACCAAAACTAATAATTAAAGGGGTGGGGTGGTCCTAAATGTTGCTGCATGCCTTGCTGGTAATAATAACCCTATATTCAATTTATTGTCCTAATAGTTATAGGGTCATTATCTGTAAACTCGCAGGGTTGTGTTTTAGAAAATGTTGGTTCCAATGTGAAAATTAATCCTAAAGTTAAAATATACTAAATAAAAAACAGAAGCATTAGTTGACTTTTCAAACCACCTAGCCATCCCTATATTACAATCTAATGCAATTATAGCCAATTGTTGGCATTCAAATTACTGTTAATGCTCATGCATTATTTAACAACTATGTTTAAAACTTGTATTTAACTAAAAAGGTAACTTTTAATATAAGTACGAACAGAAGGAAAACTCTACTATTGGTCATTTTATTTTGGATAAAATAAGAGATATGTTTATCAACTGTAATATGGGAATTAATGGAAATTAACCATTTTCAAAGAGGTATAATGGAAAAGGGGGCAGCACCAAATGAAGCAATGAAACCAGTACTGTATTTCCAAAGACTAAGCATTTTCGGTGAAACACGTTTTTCAGGATACATAGGGAGGTTAGACAATTATTGTCTAAGAGTTAGGACCACCCATCTGGGTGTTCACTCTGTCCACGTTATGTAAAATTCATTTATTCTGACTACACTTATATAAATAGTACTCTTAACTTATAAATAAAAAGTACTGTTTAAAGAATTGAAAATCTCGATGGCAATACAATTAAATAAAAAAATAAAAAAACAATTGTTGCAGAAACTGGACGAGAAACCATTTAGATATATATATATATATATAAATATTGGCCTAGATGATTTAGTCTTGATAAAATAGTTAGAAAAGTTATCACTTTGTTACGGTAAATGAAACGGAAAGCAATATTTGCTCTGTGAATTTTGGGTTGCAATCATTTTTTTATCTTGTGATTCCATTCGAAAGTCAGAAAGTGTTATCTACTGGTAACCAATGTCGGATTGTAAATTAAACCAGAGCTATTTACATAACATTGGAAAATTAACTAGTAATACCACCATTACAAAAAAAAAGTATGACAAGAAAAAAAAAGTTAAAGAGATTTACTGGCACCACAACAATTTTAAAATTAGAACTGCATTTTGCTTGGACAGTGTGAAAAAGGTGGTTGGTCACATATCACAAAATTCCTGCAATGAACTGGAGGAGTAAGTGTTAGTTTGTGTTCCTAACTGTCAACAACTTTAATTATCTCTTCAATAATTAATTGGAACAGTGTTTTCAGCTGTTGCAGGATACTGGAAAAATAAGCAAATTATAATTTTGGTAAGGTTTTGTACTGTTTTACCCTACCTGCAAAAAACAAACCTGATGTCTTAAGCAAAAGTAAAAACTTTACACACTTTAGATAAACCTTTTTTTTTTTGTTGAAACACATCGAGTGTATGTTAAAACTGTTTCATATGCTTTTTTTATTGGACCTGTGTTGCTGCTTGATTTCCTAAACATCTATATCCTTGGTGGGGATGGTACCACCTATGCCTGTTGTATAGAGCAGTCCTTATCGGCTCTACTAAACGTGAATCGTTTTTACACATTTAATTTCATTTTGCACTCCAAATGGTGTATACTATTCTGGTTTGTCTTTCCCTTTTATTTATATCATCGGAGAGATACCACCACCACTGATATCCACTAGTGGGGATTATACCACTTGAAGCCATACCCACAGAGCTGCATTTCAGGCTCAAAAACATGTGTTGTTACCATTCTTACTTTGTGTATTCGGATTGGATATACTGCACCATACATCTTTTATTCCTTCAACATATCTACAAGAGTCACCACCACTATAAGAACCAACTACAAGAACTGGTACTCCACCATATCCACAGGTGGGGATTGTTCCGCCCAGGTGTTTAAGTTGGAGCTACATTTTAGCTCTGAAAAAGTGTGAGTGCGTTTAATCTTATTTTAATAGTTATTGGAACTGTGACATACTTCAATATTAGCTTTCCTTTCTCTTTTGTTTGTTACTACATATACTCCAAGGACACCCCTGGTGCTGCCCCACTCTTTGTGTTTTCAAAAGTAAAAACTACCTGTCAAAATGCAAGATAAAGGCAACAAAAAATCCAGAAATATAAAGAAATGAGGACACACTTCATGAATACAGACTTTTTCAACAAGATCCATTGATAATGTTGCTTTTAATTGTCTGAGAAACACTCAACAAACAGAGCTGCATAAAAGTTCCATCGAAAAAGCACAGCCAGGATGCAGTTAAGGTGGGAATGTTTCCTAGAAATATTGAGTCATATTCTCAACATGTGACCAATACATATATATATGCAGCTGGCGGTATTTAAAAATAATCCAATTTTTAAAATGTGAGATATTAAAGCAGGCATGATATGCCATATACTAGTTAATGTTAAATCAGAATACAGTCAGGTTTTTTAATGGGTTATACCGTTAACAGTCATGAATGAAATACGTCAAGTTGAGGATGCACCTGATAATGTACAGACGTCATTAAGGGGAGACACTGCAATAACTTTATAACACTAGGTAAGATGTATACTGGTTATAATAGATGCTGTTGTGATTTGACTTCTTTTGTGACTCTAAGAAGTTGCCACCTAGCCATAAAACATGTTAGTGCCTTGACCAGTGCAGCGCCATGTTTGATTATGACACATATAAAATGATGAAATAAAGCACATATTTTTTAATTTTATACACTGATTGAGACACCATCATTCGCCATTAGAGAAATGAACCATTGTTTTTTGTTTTTTTTTAGTTTATGATTCTCGATTTATCTTCTGGGGTTTTTGGCTTTTTACAGCCACAACAAAATTTTCACTAATTGAGTGCTAGTGGAGAGTGGAAACTTTGAATCCTGTCCTTGCTGCTGACCTTGGAAACTTTTGCTGTGGCAAATAAACATTCTACCTTGCTACTCAATACCAAGGACAAGGAGGATTGGGGACATCCTATTAGAGGGCCCACTGCATCTACCATTTGAGCCAGATGTTTATATTGGCTCTACATTTATGAGTTTTACTTTTTCCATGACTTGCCTGCATATCCATAGCACAGACAATATTACACTAGTCAGTTTGTTTCTTGTGCTTCCTTGCAGGCATATTACTACTACACTATTGTATCACCTTATGTTGTATGTATAATTTTCTGTCAATGGTTGTGGTTTTGGGAATCCCACTCAGGTGTTAGAGCATGTATTGTAGATTGGCACTTACGGATTGTACACATTGTTATTTATATCATCTGAATCATGACTACATCAATGCACAGCAAAATTGCAGTTTGTTATAGTTTACTGAAGGTGCTTATAGGTGCCAACATGTACCAGACAAATGGCTTATTTATTTTAAAGTATTTATTTTATTATAGAGCACGCATCAAGAATATATATGATTTGATTGCAATATATGCATGAAAAATATAGGTTCATACCTCCCAACACTGTGGAACCTGAGGTGGGCATCACCACTGACACGGCACTGGTGATGCCTATATTAGACAGTTCCATCCAGAAATGGTAAAAGCTCGCCCTGAAAATGGGTGGATCTGCCCAGAATATAAGTGTTCCTGTCCAGAAAATGGGCAGGTCTGCCTACTGAAGGGCAAGAGTCAAGCTAATCAAACCAAGCCTGTATATTCCCTGCATGGTCCTAGTGCCCATTTACTGCATTAGCACTGTGCTGCCTAAGGATACTTTCCCCGGATCCTCGGATTTGGGACTTTTGGGTATTTCTGAGAAAAACATATTTAGCTTGTTGTAAATGTGAGGAAAGTGCTCAATTAGCTGACATTTTAAAATGAATCAAGTAGTTAAAAGGTGTAAGAAAATATGATTGTGTCTCATAAAATCACAATTATCACGGTTTATAAATGTATGGCATGAAATATTCAACCGTGCGTTGACTACATTATCCATTTTGTTACCATGGCTATTGTGGATGCAATAAGTAACACATAAATCTAATGCAGGGGGAACTAGAACAATTGGTTCTGTGTTGAGCGTGTGATGTTGATCAATAAAAGTAGAAATTTGAGAGAGATAACTCTCTATGTGCATTTATGAGCCCAACAACAATATTATAATACATCAATAAACTAACCTGCCACATTTGGGAGACAAAATGTTTAATAAAAATCTCAATATAGACAATTAATGTAGTAACATTTTATTGCAGTTCCAAAGCATTCAAAAGATAAAATTTTAAGTGGAAAATATGCTAAATTTCAAGCTCCGAGTGACTATTCATCATCAGCCATCCCTTTGGGTTCCTTATTGTTGTTTAACAAGATTTTTTATATACCACCATTTTGTATACAAATTATGGTAGTTTCATCTGCCGGGTACTAAAGATGGAGCTGAACTCGAAGATCGTTCAAGCAACATCAAAATATTTTACTCTTTAAGTAGTGTTAATGCTTTGAAGTAGATCGTAGCAAAACACATAGCTTGCAACTTTTTAAATTTCTACTTTCATTTTAGTGGTGTCAGTGGGGTGTGGCCAGGACTATTCTGAGGTATCAGTTTACTTGCTAGTAAGTTATGCAGCTAAAATATAGTTTAGAACAATGTATCTTAATTACCTGACTGATTTCTAAACACATTTACTGTACTAAAGGTGCATGACTGTAAGTATTATTGCTGTGGAGTTCTGGTATAAACTCAGACACTCCAATAAATGTGAGCTTCTAGAAAAGAGAAACATCAGAATAGAAAAGAGGGACAGAGGGAGTGGTCCCAAAAACATGGACTTTCCCTCCTAAACAGGGAAACTTGGGAGGTATGCATATTATAATATAGTTTCACTTACTAAACATTGAGTACAGGTGACTTGAAAAACGAATTTGCAAATTTAGCACAAAACAGCTGCTTTAGAAAAAACATTATGCAGAACAAATATTTTCAGACTGATTTATGATCTATACACAAAAAGTGGAAAAGAGCCCAAAGAGCTAAAATCCTAAAAAAAACCTCTTCGGGCTCTTTTCCACTTTTCCTGTATGCATGTTTTGGTGGGTTAGAGGGAGTAGAGTGTTGTAGAGTTATTAAGAATTATACACTCTATATCTTTAAGCACCTTTTACACATAGTAATTTGTATATATATCTAAACATGATCTAGATTCTGAAGTTCCCACAGCACCACAACATGTTGTTTAGTAAGCAAACTCAACAGTGAAGCTCAGTTTTATGCTTGTGCAAAATCATTGCTATTAATGCACATAAATTCAGAGACAATTGTTGTGTAAAATGGTGAACATGCTTTAGTCCTCTTTTACTACTAGGATAGAAAGTGACTTAAAATCTCTCATTGCTCAGGGTGGACCCTTGGGCTAAAAGTCTGGTTCCTTGGAGAATTAAGATTCCTTGGAGACAGTTTGGTCAATGCCTTTTTAGAAGTTTTCTTTGTTATGTTTAACCCCTTCACAGCATTACGTGGCTGGACTGTCATGACATCATAGACTTTTCCTTGTCCTGGAGACGTAAATTCTGATTGTTTATATTGAGATTCTCTGTAGAGTCTAATTTCCTTGAGAGTTATGGTCTTATTTACTAAACAGTTAAGTCTTGAGAACTAAAAGCCAGGAGATTATTTTTTAGATAAAAATTGCAACACTTTTATCACCACAAATCACTTCAGAATAAAAGAAAAAAAAAACGTCTTTCCAGGTATAAAAAACAGAAATCTTTGCGCATTCTTTTCTGTGTAATCCAAAATAATACAATGTTTAGGCCGGCATTCTTGTAATATAATTCCACATGTATAAATCTTAAATAACAGGGCAACCTTAACTTACCACCTTAGCAAATCAATGAGTTTGTGTTAGTATGACTCACATGTCCGAGAGCTGTGTAATTGCTCTGGAATCAGACAGATATTTTTAACAGGATTGGTAGAAAGGGTATCATATCTTGCATATGTTAATGGCTCCATCCCACTGGATTAGGCTAAAGTTTAATCTATATCAATATAATAATTGATCAGGTTAAAGCTTAAACTATATCATGTTATGTTTTTGCCTATATTTTTTTTTTTTTATATATAAATTTGGCTAAATTGTTCATTTGTAAGTTTTGCAGTGTGTTTAGAGAGGTGGGAGTGTACAAAATACTTGTAGTATTTGACTGATGTACATTTGGATTTTTTATGTGTAGAAAAAGAACACCCTAAGGATATTGTTGCCATACCACTTATTCACTTTGATTTTTTTTCTGTAAGGTGAGCAAAATGTACAAGCATTGCAATCTCCTCATTCATTATTAGGCTTATTGCAATTCTGCATATTCCACGTTGTGCTGTGCTAAAATAGAAAATGATTGGCTTATTTTAATTTGCAGTCCTAGAACTACTGTATGAGAGTGCCTCTTGTGTATTTAGTTCAAGTGTCCACGGTGGTGTCGTGTTTCATGAAATATTGCTTGACTAAATCATCCCATAGGTATCATGTGTTTAACTGGTTAAACTTCCAATTAAACCCAGGGGAAAACAATACCGAGAACTGCAGGTGGCATGTTCTTGTTTACTCCCTGTGTACTTAGTACTCAAAGCATACAATTTAAAGGCTTGCCACAAGAGAACAAAGGGATAAAATGGTCTTGGTGAGACACTTTTATTATTTAAATGGTCATTACCATGAAAAAAGTTTTTGTTTATGTCTTTAATTCTTGTAACTAATAGAATTATTTTGTGATAGAATATAGTGTTTTTGTTCTTCTTGTTTGCTTTAAACTCTTCTTTTCTATTTGCTAATTAGCCATGTTGCAGGTGTCTGCGTTCACTTATTCCCTGTTCATATGCAGATAAGAGGGAGCCTGCGAGAATAAGCGAAGGCATTGTTCATGCATTGGGTAATTAAAGATATCATGGTAGTTCTCCCTTAAGATTAGAAATGTTTGTATTGACTTAAAGTAGTAATCTATGAACTTATAGGCATATCTAGAGCCCATTAGAGTTATGTCCCATAGAATTAGAGAGGTGTTTTGCCACAGGTCCTTTAAACGGAAGCCATTAGTCAATTATTGCCTTAATACAATGACTAGTAGTTTTTGAGATAATCAGCATGGCTATTCGTTCCATCCAAACTTATCTGAGTGTTTAATGGGGTCCCCGAAAGGCATTTAGAGTGACATGCTTTATGGAAGCTATAGTTTTAAAACATCAGGGGATCTACATTTTTGGCACCCCTGGTCTACAAGTATTACATGCCTACTTGTATGCTTTCACTTTCTATTTTTTTGCAAGCCTACTCTACAAGTATTTTCTTTCCATTTATTTACATGTCTATCGTGCAAGTATTCACTACCCCATCCCTTACTGCAATCATTTCCCACTACCCCATTAGTCACTCCATTTCCCACAACCCCAACAGTCACTACACTCATTTCACACTATCTCATCACTCACTTCACACTTCTCCATCACTCACTCCACTGACTCACTTCACAGCACTACCACATCATTTACGCATTTTACACTATCCCATCAGCTCTTCCACTCACTTCACATTACACCATCACTTCCTTCACTTCGTACACCTTTTACACCTTCTATCTTATAATTTTTCCACTTCAGTAGCAACTGCACTTTATCTCAGTATTCATATTCCCCTATCCCTACTTCTTAGTACTGCTGTCTG